AACAGCTTTTTAATAATTGGAACATGGAATGTACAAAGCATGAATGTTAGAAAACTAAAAGTTATAAAAAAATGAAATGGAACATATGAACATTGACATTCTAGGCATTAGTGAGATGAGAGGGACTGGCTTTGACCTCTTTGAATCAGACTATCACACGGTTTATGATACTAGGAATGAAAAGCAGTGGAAGTTGCATACATGGTTAAAAAAAGACAATTTCAAGTTCCATCCTAATGTACAATATAGTGAGTCATAGGATATGATCCATACACATACAAGGAATACCTGTTAATATTACTATTATTCAAATAATATGCGCCTACAGCTAAAGAAAAAGAGGAGGAAATTGAAAATTTTTACCTAATCTTGCAGTCCAAAACTGCAACATGCAATCAAGATGTGTTAATGATAAGTGGTGACGGGAATGCAAAAGCTGGAAACAATGAAGAAGGAATGGTAGTCAGAAAGTATGAATTTGGTGACAGAAATAAGGCTGGAAATAGAATGATTGAATTCTGTATATTCAATGATTTATTCATTGCATATATATATTTAAACACAGTTATTTTGCACATGGACTTGACAGACTGCATAGGAATCAGATAGAAGGAATCATTGGAGAAGTTCAATATCAGCAGTTAAAACCAGGCCGGGGACAAATTGTGGAACATACCATCAATTACTCGTTTCTAGTTTAGACTGAGGCCAAAGAAAATGAAAATAAGGCTATAAGAACAAAAATATGATCTTGAGTCTATCCCACCTAAAGTTAAGTATAGATTTGAAGCATGGAATACCCATTATCAAAGACTAGATGAATTGTGGATGACATCAAGGATATAATTCATAAATAGAGCAAAAGATTATTACAAAGACAGAAGGGCATTAATGCATATAAGGATTTAATGTTTTTAAGGTCCAAATTTTCTGGTTTATTTTCTGCTGATTGTATCTTTTTAAATTTGGTAGACTATTAATGCTATTGATTGCTGTTGTTGTTCTTAAGTGCCATTGAGTCAGCTATGAATCATAATGACTCTACTGACAACAGCTCTGAATCTTGCCCTATCCTGAGCCAACTTTACGATCTCTGACACACCCAACCCTATTGCTACAGTCACTGTGTCAATCCATCTCATCAAAGGACTTTCTCTCTTTTGCAACCTTTTCCCTTTCCAAGTATGACATCACATCCTTCTCCAAGGACTGGTCCCTTCTGATAACATGCTTAATGTACGTGAGAGTGTCAAAATCTTTGCCTCCAAGAAACTTGGTTTCACCTCATGGCAGTCCATGATACGTTCAATACTCTTTTCCAGTGCCACAGTTCAAAGGTATTGATTTTTCTGTTATCCTTAATCATTATCCAGTTCTCTGATGCATAATAAGAATTTTTTTTTTTTATTTTTGTGTGAGTGTACCGTCAAATCAGATCTGACTGGTACAGGAGAGATTGCACCTCCTTTCCCGGCAGAGCATCTGGTGGATCTGAACCGTGCGCCTCTGGGACTGTAGTTGCAGTTCCTTGCCACTAGGCCACCAGAGCTCCCCGCATAATAAGAAATTGAGACCATGGCTTGACGTCTTTAGACCAACATCACTACTCTTTAGCATTCTGAAGGGATCCTTGACAGCAGATTTTTGGAATGCAACTCATCTTTTGATTTCCTGACTGCTGGTGCCAAAGGTATTGACTATGGTTCCAAGGAAAGTAAAATCGTTAACAATTTCAATCTTTTCTCTATCATGATGATAAATATTGGCTATTGGCCCAGTGGTGAGGATTTTTTTTCTTGATCTTGGGATGCAATCTATATTGAAAGCTGCAGTCTTTAACCTGCAGCAAATACTTCAAGTTCTTCTCAGTTCCAGCAAAGTTATGTCATCTATATAATACAAGTTGCAAATGATACTTTCTCCAATCCTGATGTCATATTCTTCATACAGTCCAACCTCTTGAATGATGTATTCATCACATATATTTAAAAGGTATGAGGAAAGGATCCGTTCTTAACACACTCCTTCCTTGATTTTAAACCATGTTCTCTTGCTCTATTTGCACATAACTTCTTTATATAGGTTTTTCATGGGTACAATTGAGTGTTCTGGGATTCCCATTCTTCTCAATGTTAGCCATAGTTTATTGTGATCTACACAGTCAAATGCCTTTGTAGAGTCGATAAAACACAAATAGACATCCTTCTGGTACTCTCTGCTTACAGCCAAGAACCATCTGACATCAGCAATGATATCCCTAGTGCAACAGTTTCTTCTAAAACCAGTTTGTGTTTCTGGAAGTTCTCTTTTGATGTACTGTTTTAATAGTTTTTTATAGATTGTTGTTGTGGGGTTTTAGAGGCAGAATTGCGTGGGAGGAGATTGCCCATTCTCCCACTTTGATTAGATTAGAGCTCCTAAATTTGCTCCAATTCTTTCTTCAAGAATTATAATTTTAGCTTTTAAGCTCAAGGTCCTTGATCTGTCTTGAGTTAGTTTTTGCATATAGTGTGAGTATAGATCTTGTTTCAACCTCCTGCAACTATCTAGCTAGTTTTGTCAGCATGATTTTTTTTTAAGATGCAGTTTTACTCCTGGGCTCTCAGTTCTATTTCATTATCTATACATCCATCTGTTGCTGTATTATTGCTAGCTTATTTTAGTGACTGGAGCTGCATATTGGTTTTGAGATTAAGAAGATTAACCCCCCCCCAAATATTTTTTCTTTTTTCTTTACTGCTTTGCTTATTTGAGGTCTCTTTCTTTTCTATAAAAAGTTGATTACTTTCCCCCATCTTTTTGAAGAATGATAATGCCAAACCACCAATCTTTCAGTTAGCAACCAAGCTCTTAGCTATTGTATTGTCAGATGTTTTCATTTTTTTATTGTCAACAGAATGTGAAGACATAATGTCACCTCTTTCAGGCCTGCTCATAAAAACACAATGCAGAATTTTTGTATAACCTTTCCCACTACCAGCTGTTTAGAGTGGAGGAAATCCTAAAATTATTATAATGTGTGACAATTAAAATTATGGGTTGCTATGGCTATTATTGTTAGTATAATGTAACTTCTATGAGTTGTAGATTCTAACCTCTATAATATTAAAATAAGGCAAGATTAGAAGTGGATCTGTAAATTCACTTGTGACCTGACATGTGCAAAATTGAACTACTCCATAGGGTTTTCAAGGCTATGATCTTTCAGAAGCAGGTCATCAGGTTGAGCACTTAAAGATTAGGATCTCCCAGGGATTCCAAGAATAAACACAGTGGTACCTAAACTGTCTCAGCAGTCAAGGATGTCCTGAGGAACTATGGAGGAGGTATGAAAATGAAAACTTAAACATTGGATAAAAGTTCTAGCAAAGACTCTGGTTATTAAAGCCTAAGTGGGCTAGGAAGGCTCACAGTAGAAAATCCTGGATAGAGTGAAATGAAATGTGGCACAAAACTCAAAACCATTAAAAAAAAAGAAGAAGACCAGGCTTCCAGGTTTACTGCTCCAGCAGAGACTTGTAGAACCCCTATGACCATGGTCCTTAGTCACCTTTAAATCTCCAACAAAACTCACTCCCATGGATAACCTTTCAGCTAAACAATAGACAGGCCTAGGAAGATCCTTAATGATATGGCTTGATATGGTGTCTGTAACCGTCTCAAGTATATGGTCTCAAGTATACTGGAGATAATGAGGATGGGGAAGATAATGAGGATGGGGCAAGATTCAGATCCATTGTTCATAAGGTTGCTATGGATTGTACATAACAATAACATAACATATAACAAACATAACATAAATAATATAAGGTGACCAGTGACATCTGGAGGCACTCACACCTTAGAATAATCAACCAAAGAACATCAAAAGGGCAGTGTTTGCCCAAGAATAAGTCCCTGAAAGTAGGAAGGAGAAGGAGAGAAATATTAATGCAATGAGAACTATAAGGAGAAAGTGGGAAATTAGTGTTATAAAAAATATGTATGAGTAGGTTAATGAAAGAATCTATTTTCTTGGTAAACTTTCATTTAAATCACAATTGTTTAAAAAAAAATGAAGAGAAAAAATATCCCCAAAATAAAATATAAATGCGTTTCCTTTCACAAATAGAGATGAGTGCTTAACTTTTTATACCACTCAGGGACTCTGAAAAAAAGAATGTTGTGTACCATCAAGTAAAGGAGATTACTAATCTTTCTGTGGAGCAGCTGGTGGATATCTATTGGTGCTTTTGTGATTGCAGTGCAGTTTCTTACCACTAGGCCATGGGTACAATAACTAGCTATTGAGGCTTTAGGAAACTCTGGTGGCACAGTCCATAGAGAGTTAGGCTGCTATTCCAATAACTAAACTTCTCTAGCAGTTTGAATCCAATAGCTGCTCTTAGGGAGAAGAATGGAGAGTTTTCTTTCATTTAATTTAAAGTCTTGGAAACCCACTGAAGCATCAGCTCAGAGTTGGAACCACTTAACAGCAGTGTGAGGAAGAGATTGATGATCTGAGAATATGATACTTTGGTTGTATTAAGAGGACATTTTTCAGAATATCAAAATGAAGTAAGTGATTAGAAAAAATTTAATTGTTCTAACCTAGTCACAATCTATTTAAGCAGATTGGTGTCAATCATACCCAAAAGACTGTCTTGTAACAACTGAGAAATACTTGACATCATTTATTTAGAATTACAATCATTAAATATTTATTTGGCATTGTAAGATGAGAGGTTGAAAGGTACAATTTTATTCTTTTATAAGTAATGCAATAATGTACTTTAAAAGGAATAAATAGAAACTATAATTAAAAGAGCTCTTAAAGTATATAAAAGTAGAATCAATATAATCAATTAAAATTGTAGCTATTAAACTAGTAATGAGATTCATGTAAATTTGGCAATGTTAGAACTATTGACTCATGCTCATTTTAATTGAGTTTGAAAAATTAGCAGCATGTAATGTTATTGCCTGTCCTGGCCAGACCAGTATTCTGTTTATCTATGCTTTCACTGGGATTTAGCTTTGATTAATACATCCACATCAGCTTTGTCTGGCTCTCCAAGACTTTTTTGATCACTATCAACTAGGATGTTGTCTTCCTTTTTTCGAAGCCTCTGGGACCCACCATCTTTGGAAGCAATAGGAACTCTGAATGCGATAAAATTGTGCACATCCTGCAGCTTCTGACGCAGCCACTCCACTCTCTCCATTGAGTTCAGATGTTTGCCGAGGTTATGCATAAGTTGTATTTCACTCACAGATCTCTTCCTGGGAATGACAGAAACACAGAGGGCCATTTCATTAACCTCTAATTTCAAAGTCATAAAGTCATTTTGAAAAATCTAGTTCCTATGCTCCCATCATTCACAACAGAATACAGTAAGTACTTACTTAACAGGCTTGCCTTCCAATTTTGCAAGGAAGCAAATTGTGAATAAGACAACCATTACTTTAGCCATATCTTTTGCAGACATCACCTTTACTAAAAAGAAAAGCAAAATCAGAGTCTTTTTAAATATTTTTATTATTCCAGTTCTATAGTTAAACTTACAGTAATTTACATCTGCAAGCACACAACCACATGCAAAGGAATTAGTGAATTAATTGGTTTTCATAAGAAGTCTATTTATTTTACAGATACATTAATATATAGTAGATACACAATTTGAGTTAGAAAATAGATGAATTAATTTTACTTTCCTCGGCATATTTTTTGTGAATGTTCTTGTACCATTTTTAATTAATGGATGAATTTGAAGCAACACAGGGAATAAAAGGACTTGCTTTTTAGAATTTCCTTCCACATTTTATATAGTTTATTACTAAATATTTATAATATGTTTGGGAAGAGAGAATTCTTTAATTGAGTAAATTGTTAACACTAACAATTACCAAATCCATTTTCCATATGTAAATTTCATTTCAGATACTGTGGCAATTACCAAAAATACAAAATTACTAGATTTTAACTGAATTAATAAATGCTTTTCAACTTTTCCCAGAAGAACATATGAAAGCATTTAAAAATCATTTAATAAATTAATTTCTTTGAGGATTTAGAGTTTTCCTCCAATTAATGTTTGTCTGTGTATTGTTTTCTTAATTTATTTTATTAAGTTTGATTTTAATGTAACTTTTAGGTGTTTCTCTTGTCTGCAAAGCTTTATCCATACCTTAATCTGCATTAAAATAATTGCAAAGTCTGTTTTTATGCAAGTATTTTGTCTCAATGTTCAATAGTCTTTCTTTTAACATATACACAGAACAGATACTTTAGAGGGAAATTGCATTATTGAGAAGATAATAGGAAACATAATTTGTTCCATTTCTTTCCATTGTATAATGTAAAGCTATTAATGAAAACACACATAATTTTCTTTCAGTTTTGGATTATGTCAGAAATAGGCACTGTAACTCAAGGAGCAGAGAGCATGGGTATTTATTCCTAGGGAGATGTCCTTCTTAAAAGGATGATGTGGAAAAGAGCTGAAAAGCAGCTGTACAACTCTCTTAAAATTCATGTATATGTTTTTAAAATTAACATTACTATCATTTAGGTAAATAAAATTCAAACGAATATTCAGCAAACAGCTTAGCATGTAGAATGAGATCTCTCTTAGTCATAAGATAAATAATCTACATATGTATATTCTGCTAGAAAAAAAGGAATGCTTGCTTTACATTAGTTGATTTATATTGGCTATTTAAATCAGGATTACTCATCATTAGGTTATTTCATTTCAAAATTTTGACAGAGTCCAATAAAGCATAAAATGCCAATTTTAATAATTTTGTGTGTAAATCCAGATGAATTTTTAAAAGGAAAGCACCTTAAGACTTGTATCATAAAAATAAAATAATTAAAATTTACTTCACAATATAAATTTGTTTTTAAACTGTGACATTTCGTATTAAATAGAATTCAACTTTACCCAAGCTCTTACCTTGTGTGGACTGATATTAGTAGAAAAAGGTAATAATTTAATTAAATAAATTGCCCGATTATTAAATATCTCCTACAAATTGAACAGAGAACAATTACTCACCACGCAATATCCTAGGACAAGATTTTTCTTCAAGTGTATTAGCAGCAATGTTGAGATAGCTTGAGATAGCTCATGCACTGGACTGCAGAACCTTAAATGTGGCTTTTATATATAGGGCTTCCACTCACTAACAGAAACTTTTTTTTATTGTAGCAGATGATGTCATTCTCATTTCTTTGGATCTCAACTGTAGGAATTAGAGCTGCTAACACCCACCTTTTGGGTGGTACCAACTCTTCTTAAGTTGTCAATAATTTGGATATTAAAAATAGTGTGGGGTTTTGCAAAGAATTTACACCAAATATTTAATTTTACAACCCATAAAATTCTGATGAGATTGATAAGTTTAAATACATATAATTATAAAGGCTCATTACAAAGATTATGATAAAGGCATCATTTATCTTGAAAGTAAAGCAGGCAAATACAGTCCATTTGCCATAACCATACCATTGGTAGAATTGCTATGAAGATGAAAATGAATCATGTTATTTATTTTACTTTATTAGCTATTCAACTAATCTTTGTATTTCTTGGTCCTCTTTCAAAAAGAACGGAACTAAAATTATATAATTTGTGAAGCTGCTCTTACTGTATCATGAGTTTTAAAAGGCTTTAAGAGGAAAAAATATTTTAAAATTAATTTGATTTATACACTTAGACATGTAATTACATTATCTCTATGCTAAACTTTACTTACATTATAAGGGCAGTGACGATTTAGTTGGAAATGTGGTGGCACAGCAGTAAAGTGCTTGAGCTGCTAACTGAAGAATCAGCAGTTCGGAACCCACTAGCCACTCCACAGAAGAAAGATGCATCAGTCGACTATAATAAAGGATTTTCAGCCTCGTAAATTCTATGTGAGGTTGACTCTGTCTTACCGAGTTCTTCTGATTTAGAATTGACTCAGTGGCAATGAGCTGGGCTGGTGTTTTAGTGCTAGACTTCTCACTGTCCATGCAGGACATCAGGGTTTGATTCCTGGCACCTCAAGCATAGGCTCCATATTTTGGGTGGTTTTGAGGCTTCTGGGTTGTTAGAATGCTGAATAGGTTTGTGCTAATGTTGAGACTGAGAGAGACTAGGGAAAAAAGGACTAGTGACCTACTTCTGAAAAACCAGCCAATGAAAACCCTCACCAGCTTTAGATCCATCACCAGCTTTAGATCCTATTGTGCAAGGGTCTATGAGTGGGGTTGACTCCACAGCAGCAAACAACTTTTATTATGCCATCATGTCCTGACAGGGAAGTACCTGTGGAGTAAAGATAGTTAAAGGGCTGAGCTGCTAACTGAAAGGGTAGGAAAATGGGTTGGAATCCAACAAAAGTCTTTATATGCTTTCAGAGCTATTTTTATTCATATTTATTCCCCTAGTTTCCATTTAGAAATATAGCCCCTCTTTGAACTCTAGCTGTTTTGTCTAATTTGCCTTGTCCTTTGCAAAATTTATTCCATGAATGTGGTCTTGTCCAACATGTTCTTCAGAAAATGACTGGATCCTGTTACAAAATGTAATGAAGAGATGATGCTGCCACTGTCTGACTTCGAATATTAATATATTTAATTTTTCATTAAATATAGTGAGATTCATAGCCTCAGAAAACCCTCTGGAGGGTGAGCTATAAGTCAGTTAAAAATGAACAGTATGTAGCAAAAAACAGTAGTTAACAGATCAATGCTTGAATGCTCTGGTTACATCTAGGCAACATTTAGACAGCTTGCCTTCTAACTAAAGAGTCATTCTCAGAATTTATTTTTCTTAGCTGTTGGGAGTCTGGTAGCCTAGTAGTGGAAAGCTGTGTTGCCAACCCAAAGGCATGTGGTTCAAGTTCACCAGGAGTTTCACGGGATAAAAATGAGCAATCTCCTTTAGTGCTCTTTACTGCTTCTGTACATCTTCTGGAAGGTCACTTATGGGTTGGTTCTAACTTGGCAGTACATAACAACATATAACATAACAACATAACATAGCATAACATCACATAACATCACATAACATAACATAACATAACATAACATAACATAACATAACATAACGTAACATTTTAAACTCTGGTCTCATCCAGGTCTCAATCTTTTTTTCAACCAACTATTAATAGGGTTTGACTCCGTATCAAGTAAGAGCTGGTCCAAGTTTGGCCAGGACCTGCATGAAGGTATGCCATTTCAAACAATCTGTATCATTCTTGGTTCTCTTTTTGACTGATTTGCTTAGATGGAAATATATATTAAACTTCTACTAGGACATTCTCTATACTGGAAAAACCTCAGTGGAGTTGTTACATATTCCAGATCTTAGAAATGAGAGAGACAACTTTAAACATGTATAAACTAGGTTAGTGAAAAGGTCTAAAAAATGTAACATATGAGAAGCAGTTGAAAGAAGTAAGGTGACTGTTATGTTATACACTACCAAAAGTTGACAGCTCTAATCCACCAGCCACTCTGCAGGAGCAAACTGGACAGTGTCCTCCCTTCAAGAGTTATAGGCCCTTGGATAGGAACACTAGGAATCATAACCAACTTGAGGGCAGTGGGTTTTATCAAAGAGAAAAGAAGCCCTGGGGCCAAGTGGTAAAATGTTAAGATTTTAACAGGAAGTTGGACTATTTGAGCGCACCCAGCAGTTCAGCAGGAGGAAGGCTTGGTGATTGGTTTCCATAAAGATTGCAGCCTTGGAAACCCTTTGGGACAGTTCTGTCTTGTCACATAGCTTTGCTATGAGTTAGAACCAGCTTGATGGCAATGGACTTGGATTTGGTTTGATCAGAGAGAAGTATCCTTATGGCACACTGGTTAAGCACACTATTGCTAACCAAAAGGTCAGCAGTTTGAAGTCACCAGTTATTTTGTGCAAGAAAGATGCAGGAGTCAACCTCCAGTTAGAAAGTCTAGAGGACAAATCTGAGAGTGGGACAATGAATGAGGATGACAGAAGGAGAACTGATGCCTTTGAGTTGTACAGTTGGAGAAGAGTACTAAGTACCAGAGGTACTATAGTACAGCTATCAGATGGTGCACAACAACAACAACATGTCACTATTGACCATGGTCAACTCTACTGTAGAAGTGATAGCAGTAGTATTGTAGGGAAGAGGGAAGGTCCTCTATGGGTTGATGGTTGTAAAGCAGAGTTTTTTGAGTACACTGCTGAAGAGTCTGCATGTGATTGTTTGGTATTTTTCTGTTATACTGTGTTGAGAGAGAAGAACTGGAAATGCAAGTGGTCATATTAGCACACTTTAAAAACTGTATGATAAAATTTTGCTTAACATTGTGATTTTGAGATTTTCCTCCCCCATCTACTTGGTTACTTGGGGTTACTTGGTTGCTACTCAGTTACTTGGTTTGACATATATTGAGAGCCTTTTAGGAGTAATACAGTTTGTTTTCCTTTTACTCTCTTTCTCCCTTCTAACTGGTTATAAGTTGCTATACTGAAGAGAGTAAAGCAACCACATCATAAACTAGCTTTATGGAAAATTAAGCAAATAATCCTCAATGATGACCATTAAGTTATTCAGAAAATGTGCTGAGCATCTACTATATGCTAGAGGTTATTATGCCAATCATTAGATAATTGAGATAAGATCCCTGACTTCAAGTTTAACACATAATTATAAAGATGTAAGCAAAGAACTACAAAGGTACCCAAGAGGGAGTGGCTAAATTTCCCTGGAGGAGTTGGAAGCTGTGTACTGTAAACAGATGTGTCCCCAAGGATGGATACGAGTTTGGTACTAGAAAAAGTGAGCAAAAGCACACAGGTATGGGGGCAACAAAGACTTTGGACTGAGTGTTGAGTATATATGACCAGAAGAAGAGGGGAAATGGGAGATAATACTGAAAAATTAACTTGACTACAAACTGTGGAACGCCTTTAGGTATATTCTAACAAGTTTTATCTTGAATCCTTTCTAAACTTATGCATTAGTAATAGTTTTGTTTCTTCATTATTTTTTTTAAAGGACTATTTGACCTTCCTGTGAGAGAATGAAAAGCAAGACTTGGCACATGTTTATCTGTGTCATCAGGTACTTGGACTGTGGGCATTAGATGGAAGGAAAGCATTCAGCAATAAGAGGCTAGGGGCTATGCGGGCATAGAAGACCAGACACAATGACAGAGAGAAAAGCTGAACATAGCTTTTTGCTTTGAAAAGCTCAGCAATCTTTTTTAGTATCCTCACATCCTCTCAAGCCCAGATCAGACAAGCTACTGGATTCCTCACTTCTGAAAAGTGTGAAAGGACATGCTGACCCTCTGGCCTTGTGATATGGTTTAATCTGAGATTTACCTTTACCTCTTGTTGCTCAGTAGGAATTAGTATGTCTTTGAGGATTTAGCAACAAATAGAGGCTTCCAGATTGGGAAATCCATCAATAGCTCTCTAAATTCAATGTTCACGGTCAGATTAGATGTTATCTATCTTAACATTTGACTTGCTCTTTTGCTTTAAACTCTTCCATGGGCTATTAAGGCACTGGGTTCCTTTCTGTTCTGTCAAAATAAAACTTTGCTCCATTCTCTCACTTCTAGTAAGAGATAACTAGCAAAAAATTAATTAGCAATTAAAATGAATTCATTAAAAAGGAAAAATATGATTGACAAACATAGGGTGGCACAGAATAGGAGCATTCAGATCTCTTGTTCACAGGGTCACAATGAGTCAAACTTGATTTGATGACACTTAACAGCCACAATAGTTGTCAGACTGGCTCTGACTCCTAACGGTCCCATGTGTATCTGAGTAGAGCTGTGCTCTATATGGTATTCCACAGCTGGGTTTTGGAGGCAGATTGCCAGACCTTTCCTCAGAAGTCTTTGGATAGACTCAAATCATCAACATTTTGGTTTCTAGCCAAACAACATTATTATTGTTGTCAGGTACCATTAAGTCTACTAGACTCATAGCGATTTATGAACAACACATCTAAAACTTGCTCTGTCCCGTGTACCCTCATCATTTCTGATACACACAAACACACCGTTACAATCACTCTGCCAATCCATCTTGTTGAGGGTCTTCCTCTCTCTCTGACCCTCCACCTTTCCCAGCTTGAGGCCCTTGCCCCTTCTGACAACAAGCTCAAAATGTGTTAGACCCAGTTTCACCACTCTTTCCTCTAAGGAGCACCATGGCTGCTTCCTCAAGATAGAAAGGACTCCCTCAAGATAGACTTGTTTGTTCTTTTGGCAGCCTATGGGATACTCAGCACTGTAAACACAATTCAGCACAATTCAAAGACATCTATTCTCCTTCTGTCATACTTATTCATTCATTATTCAGCTTTCAGATGCATAGGAAGAAATGGAAAAGGCCATTGAAACCAACATTACTCACTACTTTTCATCCATTGTGCTGATGAATGCCCATCCCTGAATGTGTTTTCAGCCACCAGTGTGTTTATGTGGCTTTTCCATTTTGATTTGGCCTGTGCTGTTTTCACAGTCAGAGGCTTCTCTAGAGATGAGGCTTGAAAGTGAAGGGTGAGATAGTGGATGACAGGGGTGAGAAAATCTTTCCCAATATGGCAAGAATGCCTCTGTCTTGATATAGTGTAACCCCAGTGTGTCTCTTGAGGAAGACTTTCAAACACTGATTGATTTAAAAGATTGAAAGTTATGCAGATGCATCCAAATGTTCTCTATGATATAGGTAAAAAATGATGCATGCCCTGGAGTGTTTCTCATTCAAAATCTTTCTGACATTTAATCCACTTATACCTCTGATTTCTTACTGATTTTAATGCCAACTCTTCTAATTCTAAATATTTTTTTTTCCTGGAATGGATTTTTTTTTTTAAATTTTATTAGTTTTAATGAACATTTACAGAGATTTTGGGTTTTCATTCATTCATTGTTGCACCGCTTTCTCCACCCTCCCCCCCAGTCCATTCCTCCCTCCCCCCCATGTCTGTTTTAATTGTCCAATTGCCACAGTGCCCGCCAAAGCCAGTTCTGATCAATCTCCCTTGTCAGTATGTCCCTTGCCATTCCCTATCTCTCCTCCCTGAGAGAGACTTCACCCTGATTCATAAGGAAAAGGGGATGGCGCATTCTCTTAGCTACTTCCTGCTGAAAAGGGACGCTGTGGGTTTCAGGGTGAAGGTCTTCTCTCACTACTCTAAAGGGCCCCTTTGGCAGTAGGAAACACATAGACTATTATGGAGATCGACCCTGGAATTTAGATGCACTGCCATCAACCGTGCCCAGCTGTATATGCTCATATCCTTGAAGATGTATCATGGAAGTGCTGCAGCCTTCAAACTGCAAAGCAGCAAGATGTTCTTCCTTTATCTTGAGTTTCAGCTCATTTTTCCTTTGCATCTCAGCGATTTCCTCTGGGGTGGCTAGTACAGGTGATGATTCTGCTACAGGTGGTGATTTACCAGAATTGCTGAGTCAACCCGAGGGCATGCAGCTCCCGCCCTGGCTGTAGTGCATCTCTTTACCACTAAGCATAGTAGAGTTCCTCCAGCAATCGGGTGATGAGACTATCCACGTTCAGCTCCCCATCCGCCATCTTGTCGGCACTCCCATCTGCCTTCCCTCCGCAGTGGAGCAAAAGCAAAAAGTGAAACTAAGGCCCTGGCGCCGGGGTGTCCACAGCGCGCTCCCGGCCCGGCCCGGCCTCCCCGCAGCCCCGGGTCCGGCGGGGCCCAGGCCAGAGGCCCCGGAGCCGGGAGCCTAATTCTAAATATTTTTATGACTCATAAAGGTACTTAACATTTTTAGACCAGCTGCTCCAATATAGAGATCTGATAATGTAGATTTCTGATAATGTCGATCTCAATTAATGCAGATTTCCCTCTACACTCCTCTGGGAGCTCTAGTGGCCTAGAGGCAAGAAGCTGCACTGCAATCCTGAAGGAATGCAGTTCAAGGTCGTCTCCAGCTGCTCCATTTAAGAAGGATTGGGGGGGAGGACTGTGTACCAATGAGGGAGTTTTTCTTTTGCTTTTCAAGGAGAGGAGCAAACGGGGCGGGGCGGGGGGGTTTGTGCGGGGAGAAGGGTGCAACAATGAATGAATGGAATCCCAAAATCTCTGTAGATGCTCATTGAAATGAAAAATAAACAACCTAAATTTAAAAAAAAAAGAAGAAGGATGGGCAATCTTCTCTCCCGCAATTAACTGCCTCTCAAAGTCTGCTGGACAGTCAGTTCTGGGTCAGCTCCAACTCTACAGTCCATGACAACAACAATTGCAATATGTTCCTGTAGAATAGGTTTTGTTTCTTCTAGACCCTTTCTGTTCTATTCCCCTTTGCTTTTGCTAAACTATTAGGATGAAACTATAGAAAGATAAAATTATTTTTATATCCTTTTCCAAATATTCACTTGGAGCCAATAGACTGTGTCCTAGGATTCTTTATTCTGTGTGGCTGAAATAATGTAGAGAAATAGCCAGTCATTTCCCATTAGTGAAGCTCTGAATTGGAGGATCTGAGTCACCAAACCACAGTTTAGGAATGTTAATACTGCAATCTATATTATGGTTTGAATCCAATATAGCAAAGATTGGCTGGACACCTACAGTGATCCAGATCAGTTAAGATTCATCAGTTAAGCAAGAAATAGTAGCAATTTCCCTGCTTATAATCCTTTCAGTGAAGTTTGTTTTCACAAGATTTTTTAGCTTAAAAACGTATTGCCAGTGAGTCAATTTCTACTCATGGTCACCCTCTATCAGATTTATAAGACTGTATACCTTTATGGGAAGAGGCTGTACATCTTTTCCCTACAAAGTGGCTGGTGAATTTGAACCACTGACTTTTGGTTTGCAGTGAAACTCCTAATGAATGCATTAGAACATTCGAGGCTTTAGAGCCTCAAATTTCAAATCTCAAAGTAGAATATTGCCTCCCTTCCTTTGAGTTATGAGCTTTTACATATGAACTTTTAATATATGAAAATGCTTCAGATATTCACATATTCACAATTGGCATCTAAAATATGCATGTTATATATGCATGTTCTTTTTAGCAGTTGTTCTGTAAACTCAAAACTGCTCTAAAAATTCAACTGTTTTAAAAAATACATGCTGAATTTAAGTCTGAGTGGAAATTATTCCTTCCCTACTTTCTCAGATAGGTTGCCTTCAATCCAGGAGTTCTGCGTAGTAAACAAGAAGATCAAGTTTCTCAAGCCAATTATCTCTCTACCAAATAGATCTATCAGCCCAGTTTCCTGATGTGCAATAATTCTGAGATGTTGTTGTTGTTATGTGCCATCGAGTCGTTTGCGACTGATAGCGACCCTATGTACAGCAGCCCTAAACCCTGCTCTATCCTGTGCCAATATCATTGCAAATCCACCGTGAATTTGCAAATTGCACAAGGAATTATTGTAGAACCTAAACTAGGCATTTTTTTTTTATATTAAAGCTAACAAAGTGTACTAAGTATGATCAGAAGAAGGACTTCTACTTGGACCAGCAAATGAACAAGGCATCTCCTCATATCCAATTGGTAGCATTGTACAATGGAAGCTTTGGAGACCTGAATGGAAAAAGTGTGGGCAAAGATCTTATCTCTGGCACTTACTAGCTTCACAGCTCAGAACAAACAATTTTTATATCATAGTACTTTAATTTCCACAGAAAAATATATAACAACTCCATTTGCTTATTGTAAGGATCATATATATATATATATATAT